TCGCCCCCCCCATGGATGCAGGAGGGGCTATGGGGACAGGCGCGCCCCCCGGGGCCATGGGCCCCCTGAGGCTGTGCGCCCCTGGAAGCTCCCCAAGGCCATGGAGCCCCCCAGGCATGTGCCCCTCGAGGCCATGGGTGCCCCAAGTCATGTGCCCTCCCAGGCCATGGACCCCAGAGGCCATGGACCCCCCAGGCGTGCACCCCCTGAGGTCGTGCACCCTCGCAGGCTGTGGAACCCCCCCAAGGCCATGCAACCCCCCCAAGGCCATGGACCCCCCCCAGGCCGTGCGCCCCCCGAAGCCATGGATGCCCCCCAGGCGTGTGCCCCTTGAGGCCATGGGTGCCCCGAGGTTGTGCACCCTCCCAGGCCGTGGATCCCCCGAGGCTGTGGACCCCCTGGGGCCATGTGCCCCCCCCATGCTCCCCAAGGGCAGGCCAAGGACAGGAAAAGGCTGAGGCGCCCATCCCCAGGGAGCCAGCGGGGGGCGGGGGGGGTCAGCTGGGCAGCCCTGCAGCGGCCCCATACAGACACATCGCCCCCTGCACTCACACACCCACTGGACCAGCCAAGGTTCACCGACCGCATCCCGGGCCCCGGACTCGCGAGGGGCGAGGTTAGGAGGCTGGGACACTATCGGGTTAGGACACGGCCGTGACCACTACCGCTATTTGGACGACCCTAAGTCCCAAGTCAGAAGGGGCTCGGGTTAGGGAACACCTGGCTCTGGTTCCTGGCACTTGTTTGCTTATAGGGTGGAGTTGTAATGCTTTCAATAGATGGAATCTCACTGAAGCTGGGCCCCCAGTTTCTGGGGGGCGAGGAGCCTTCGTGGTTTGGGGCACTAACATGTACCACGAACTTCTAAGTCGGAAAGACGACCCTGTGAAGACACACGCCCGGGCTGCTGAGTAAAGGGCGCCCTTAACTCTGCGCGCGCTGACCTCTTAGTGAGGAGGGCACACGGCCCGCGGGGTCTTTGCGAGGCGAACATTTTTCCACTTTTGCAATCCTTACATTAGCGCCCTGTGTAGGACAAATAAAAATCCGAAATAAGAGGCTTCATTCTCCCGGTTGAAAATAAGGGCAGAGTCTCCTCCCTTCCTTCTTCTCCGACCTTAAGAAAACTTGGAAGCACTTTCTCCTCCCTTTGCAATGTACGTAAAACCTTTTGAAAACCAGACGGGCCCAGTTGGTGAGGGGCCGCCTTCAGCTCAGGTCATGATCCCAGGGTCCTGGGATCGAGTCCTGCATCGGGCTCCCTGCTCAGCGGGGACTCTGCTGCTCCCTCTGCCCCTGCCCCTTCTTGCCCCTGACTGGTGCTCTCCTGTGTCTTACAGGCTCTCTCAAATACCTCGAAAAGGGAAAAGGAAAAAGAAAAAAAAGGAAAAAGAAAAAAGAAAAGAAAAAAGAAAAAAAGAAAAAGAAAAAGAAAAAAGAAAAGGGAGAGAAGAGAAAAGAAAAAAGAAAGGAAAAGAAAAGAAAAAAAGAAAAGACTCGATCTGAAAAGAAAAAAGAGGAGAAAAAGAGAAAAAAGACTCCATCTGAAAAGAGAAAAGAAAAGAGAAAAAAGACTCAATCTGAAAAGAAAAAAGAAAAAAGACTCAATCTGAAAAGAAAAGAAAAGAAAAGAAAAGAAAGAAGAGGAAAAAAAAGAAATACACCCTAGACGGCCATTTATGCCCTGTGACTGTCGAACAAGACGAAACCCCCTCCTCGGAAGAGGACAGGAGGTGGTAGGAGCCCGCAAGGCAGGCAGTGTCGTCCCCTCTAGACCCGGGAACTCCGCGACAAGGCCACCTCTTTGTAAACCAGCTGTGACCAATACGGCTCTAACACTGCACTGATAAATGGATTAATGACTTGCAGCTGGTTGCACAGCCCTTATCTCATTGATCCTACAAGCAAGCCTGTGAGGCGAAGTGCAGGTGCGACCGCCCCACACCAGAGATACGGGGCCCGAGGCTCGGGACTTGCTCAACACTTGGCATCAAGGCAGGAAAGAAGCCCCCAGAAACCTGCTGCTGAGACTCCCACCTTCGGCCTCTTACTCCAGGGCCGTCTGTTCAGGCACGTCGTCTCCTAACCCTCAGCAGCAGAGCAAGGGCAGCCACAGAGGCTCTGGCCAAATGAGCCCCTGGCCTCTGCGCCGTCCGGCCGGGACTCTCAGAGCCCACAGCGCCGTGTGCTCGGGGCCAGCAGCCACTGGGCTGCCCCACGGGGTTCCTGGCACCTCCCCGTGTCTGGCCGAGCCCTGTAGGGGTGGAGCATCCTCAGCACATCGCACGTGCTGCACCTGGTGCCTCGGTTTCCCAGTTAGACACTAGGGGGATAACCGTGAAGGCAGCAGCTCCTGACGGACGCAGAGACGTAGGACCCCGCGACTGTGAAAAGGAGGGGAGCTGATTTCAGTTCAAGGCGGCGGGGACTTCTGTGGAAAACCGGGGCGTGTGTTCGTATTCCTTTAGTGAACGTTAGGTGAGCCGGGCATTGGCTGCACAACAACGAGGAGGCGTGCACCCCACCCGGGGCCCCTCACCACCCAGTGCGACCGACAGCGAGCTCATGACTGCCTGGCATCAGTGTGTCCTGTAAGTGCGGCGACAGCAGCATAGTCATCATTCTTAGTCATCATCCAACTAGACTCTTCATCATCATCCAACTGCAAACACAATAGTCATCCAAACAGAAAGGAATACGACGTTTCACAAAATTCTAGAACCAACTGATAAACCTGCCCAATAGCAACAGTTCCGAAAGTGAGGAAGGTAAATAAACGAAGCGATCTTTTGGTCTGGACTTAGTGGACGGGCCTAAAAAGCTCTGAGAGTCCAACCCTTTAAAGCTACTAAGTTCTATAAATGTGAATATAAATAAATAATAAATAAATATAAAAATACATAAACCACATCTTCTTTATGAGTGGATAAAGAAGATGTGGTTTATGTATACAATGGAATATTCCTCAGCCATTAGAAACGACAAATACCCACCATTTGCTTTGACGTGGATGGACCTGGAGGGTATGATGCTGAGTGAAATAAGTCAATCAGAGAAGGACAAACATTATATGGTCTCATTCATTTGGGGAATATAAAAAAATAGTGAAAGGGAATAAAGGGGAAAGGAGAAAAAATAAGTGGGAAATATCAGAAAGGGAGACAGAACATGAAGACTCCTAACTCTGGGAAACGAACTAGGGGTGGTGGAAGGGGAGGAGGGTGGGGGGTGGGGGTGACTGGGTGACGGGCACTGAGGGGGGCACTTGACGGGATGAGCACTGGGTGTTATTCTGTATGTTGACAAATTGAACACGAATAAAAAATAAATTTATTAAAAATAAATATTAAATAAAATAAATCATAAATAAAATATAAATAAAATATAAAATATAAATAAAATATAAATAAAAATATAAATAAAAATATGAATAAATAAATAAATAATTAAATAAATAAATAAATAAATAATAAAACAAGCAAGCTACTAAGTTCTTAATATGAGCCAGGCTTCAGTCTGTGCTGCGGACATAAAACCTGAACAAAACAGAAGGACACACAGTAAAATGAAATTAGACATGTAGACTGTTACTGGGGGTGTGTGACAAGTGCTCTGACACAGCAAACCACGTAGTGATGTGAGAACGGAGAGGGGATATTTAAATAGGGCCGTCAACGGGGGACTGCCAGGACAATCCTTAGACTGAGTGTAAAGGGTGAAATGTCTGTAAGACGGAATGTTTGCCCCCACCCCAACCCCTAAAGAGAACTCCTATGTTGAGGCCCTGACCCTCACTGAGATGGTATTAGCAGGCAGGAGGTCACGCGGGCGGCGTCCCTATAGGGGGATTAGTGTCCTTGCGCTCTCGCCCTCTCGTGTGTTCTCCCTCCCTGCCAAGTGCACGCAGAGGAGGTCATGCAAGCCCCCGGGAGATGGGAGCAGTCTGCAAGCCTGGAAGGGCTCTCATCAAGAACGGCATCTGTCAGCACCTTGATCTTGGACTTCACAGCCCCCCGAGCGGGAGACACGAATGTCTGTTGGTTAAGCCCCCCCGTCGGTGGTGACTGGGTGGTTGGCTATGGCAGCCTGAGCTGGCTAACATACTAGGTTGAAATGGGGGGGGAGTTGGGGGGGGGGAGGAAAGAAGGAAACCATTTTAGAAAGAAAAAAAACATAAGTGAAGAAATCACAGATGCTCAAGATAGCATGCCAGGTTTAAGAACTAAAAGGAGGCTGGCATGATTAAAGGGTGGGCATACATGTGGCTTGGTGAAAGAGGAAGGAAGCCCAAGAAAGCTGGATCTGCTCAAGTGGGTCCTTGAACCTAACGCAGAAAGCCACGGAAGGATTTTCAACAAAATAGGACTCGTTCAGATGGACTGAAGGGGCGGCTCTGAAGACAAGGAAGGAACCGAGCGGGGGGGGGGGAAATGTGGGCGACACGTGTTCCTTCTTTAGGGCCTCCACTGCCCCTGATTTATAAGCCTAGTCAAGTGACGCGGTTCAAGGGGGCGGCGGGGTCCCCCCTTGCCTAGCCCCAGGGGTGGGCGACTGGCTGCGTGCTGGGCCAGTGAGAACATGCTCTCATTCACCACCGTTTAGGACAGGGCTCAACCTACAACCTCCAGGGCTTGGAAATATGACCGAATAACCCAAAGCAGCATCGCAGAAGCGATCCAGGGATCCAGAGAGTTCCTGGAGCTCTTGAGATTTAGATCTCGTAGTTTAGGACACAGAAAAGACAAGAAGCGTCATCACTCAGTCTCCAAATGAACGTTATTAAGCGCGCTCCGCGTGCTGAGTGTAAAGTGAGGTTCTGGGACACTGTTGGTAGAAATAACGAATATGAAGAAGACACAGTTCTTGTCCTTCAACATCTTATTGTTTAAACAAGGGCGACCATGAGCTATCATTTAAGATCAAACATTTTAAACACATAAAATCATACACGTAAAGGAGCACAGGCACCCAGAGAAGGCTGGGGACTCGTAGCTCCCGCTGCCAGGATCAGGGAAGGCCACGGACACCGAGAGCTTTCGAGCTGACCCTGGAGTGGATGGAACTTGGGCAGACGGAGATCGGGACGATGTCAGCGTTGAGCTGAACCCAGGAGGAGGAGACTGGGGTCGTTCACCTGAGTCCCAAGAGGGCAGAAGAGAAAGAAATGCACAAAGTGTTAAAATTACTAAGGACACGGGGAGGGGCAGGGAGACAACTGGGGAGCTCCCGAAGCCCTGGAGGTGCCAGCAGCTTGGACGGTTGGGAGGGGCTCCCCCGGGCAGGGCAGTCCTGGGGGGGGGGGTGATGCGGAGTTTCTCTCAAGGAAGGGAACTGAGGAGCAGGAGCCTGGGGGGCGGCTGGCCTCTCGGCAGCTGCAGGAGACCCTACACCGAGGCACCCGGGCACCCAGGCACCGGGCAGCGGGACATCAAGGCACCTGGGCATCGAGGCACCAAGGCAGTGGGACATTGAGGCACCTGGGCAGCAGGACATCAAGGCACCCAGGCATCGAGGCACTGAGGCAGCGGGACATCGGGGCACCCGGGCACTGGGGCATCGGGGCATCAAGGCACTGAGTCAGTGGGACATCAAGGCAACTGGGCAGCAGGACATCGAGGCACCCAGCAGCAAGGCAGCGGGGCACCTGGGCAGCAGGACATTGAGGCACCAAGGCATTGAGGCACCAGGGCACCCAGGCACCCGCGCTCCTGGCCCTCAGGCGGCCTGGGCCAGGGGGAGCAGAGGCCCAAGGAGTGGGGCAAGGCCTGGCCCACGGGGATGCTGCCCGCACCAGGGGCTCCCAGGCACAGCCTCTCTGCCGCTTTCCTCTGACCCTCATCTCAGCTGTCATGTGCTGGAATCGAAGGGTGTTGGCGACCAGGCCTACCTCCCGCCAGGCGGTCCCGGGCACTGGAGCCTCCGCACTAGGCCGCGTCCTTCCCGGCTCACAGGCTCCCTGTTGGTGACCCCATTACATCTCGGCTGCCACCTGCTGGGTGCAGGCCGGCTCGCTCCCGCGGGGACCCTAAGAGGCAGTGACAGGGCCGGTAAGGGAAGGCGGGGGCCGGGGGCTCAGGCGGGGAGATGCGCCGTGAGACCCCAACTCGGGAACACAAGGGCGGCAGGCAATAGGGTGACAAGTGGGGAAAACCCACCCACAGAACCTAAGGCACCAGGAACCGCGAGGAGGAAGCGAGGTTGCTGAGCTCCTGCAAGTGCTCGGGTTCATGTCCCAGCTCTGGAAACGCGAAGGCCCGACCCCTGGCCTGCAGGTCCCTAAGTGCAGTGGGAGCTGCAGGGCCGACACCCCGGGGCCCAAGCCCCAGCCTGAAGGTCCCTAAGCACGGGGGCAGTGGCGGGAGCTGGGGGGCCGACACCCCAAGAGGAAGGAAACGGGCAGCAGGAAGCCCGCTGGCTCCCGGCTCAGGAAGGTGAGGCTTCCCTGGGCCTGGGAACAGGCTGTGGCCCTGGGGCACGGTGGGCATGGTGGGCCTGCGGGAGGCGCCCAGCAGCTTCTAGACCACACAGCCTCCAAGGCTGCCACCCTGCTTTTTCCCCAAGGGACCTGAGGCCGGGCAGTTGCCTCCGGAGCCCAAGGGGTCGCTGAGGACGCGCCGATGACAGCGGCAAACAGTGGGCCATCCAGGGCCTGACAGCCGAGCACTGGGACAGGAGGCGGCACTTCGTTCTGCTGACTGCTGGTCACTCGTGGCCGCCACCTGCCCCATTCTTACCGCCTCACAAGGCGCCCTGATAACTCCCCGGAGGCCCAGCGCTCCCGCTCGCTCGCAGCCCGCTCGCAGCCCACTGCTGTCACGCGCCATCCTAAGTGATGCCTCAGGCCACCGTAGCTCGGCTCAAAGGTGCTGTCCAGGACCGCTCGTGCAACCACCAAGGGGGACGGTTCCGTTGAGTGTTGTTTTCTTTAAAAGACCTATTTATGAATTCACTCGCACTACCTCGCCAGTCTCACTGAAATATTTCTAGACTTGCACACAGTTGTTCTTGCTATCGTGGTTGATCTGTTAGCATTTTTCTTCTAAGTCCTTTTAGGGTGTTCTGTGGGGTTTTTAAAAAAATTTTCAATGAATTTCCTTATAACTGCCAAAAACCCTAATCTGGGAATTATTCCCAATAATCTCTCATGATTACGGGATATCAGTGAACGGGCCAGGATGAAAAGTTTTTATCTATTTCCTTCACATAAATGAGAACAGACACAAAAAGGAGTTCTTCAAGCCAAGCAATTGCCCAGGGAGGCAATCCAATTTCTTTTATGATTTTTAATTACATAAGTAATTCAAGAAATATCCTCCTCATAAAAATTTCAGTAACATGAAGCAGAAGTCCCCAGTGACCACCATATTCCATCCCACTCCCCTCTTTGGAGGAATCCATTATCACTAGTTTGGTTTTTACCTTCCAGAACTTTTCCTGTGCATTTATACCTGTATTAGGCAATGTGTTCTTTAATAGGAATAAAATTCAATCAGGACATAGTCATCGATTTCCTTGTTAACTGTTACTTTTTTTTTTTTAATTAGGGTAACAGTAGCTACTTTAACAAATAGATCCCCCCCAAAAAAAACAATGGCTTTGGGACAGAAGTTTATGTCTTCTTCGCCTACGGGTCCCACGAGAGTAATGCAGGCCAAGAGGTAGCTTTCCCTCCTTTCAGGAGCCAAGTGCTTCCCCCGGGTTGCTGGCCACCTCCCAGGGTCTTGCTGTCATCTGCATCCAGTAGAGGAGCCTAGAGGAGACACCTCTACTTTTTAAAAGGATGTAGCCTAGAAGTGACCCACATGACCTCCACGATTATTATGCTAATAACTTCGAGGGGGATTTGGAAATTGCTCATTTAACTATTAATAGTTAAATAATAGCCCACTGATAGGCTGGTTGTTTCTAGGTCTCCTTCTCATAGGTAATGCTGCGAGGAATGTCTTTTCACGTCTTTGCAGGTACAAGGTACAAAGTGAGGTATAAAGTGATCACTCAAAGAACGTGCACTTTTCTTCTCCTAATGGAGACTGACGGAGGGCTCTCCAGAGAAGACTATACCGACGCACACCCTACCAACAGTGCTTCACATTCCTAGATGCCACTCATACTGGCTGTTTTCGATCATTTACGTCCCACCAATGTGATAAATAAGTATGATATCTAATTGCTCTGATCACATTTCCAAGATTATATAATTATGCGGAGCATCTTGTACGACGTGTGTTAGCTCTTTACACGAATGCATCTATGAACTGATTAGTCATTACTTTTGCCAGCATTCTGTTTGGATGGAGGTGAAACAGAATGTTTCGATGGAACCACTGCAGCACATTTTTGACCAGGGCCGTAAGATGTGGGATCGAGGCCACTTACAGATGAGCCATGAGAAAGCAAAAACAGGACTTTCAGAGTAGGTGGATGAGAACCAGTTTGGGGATATTTAGATGAAGATCTATCTCTAACCCTTAAAAGAATTTGGAAAGGCTAAGAGTGGAAATGAAGGGGATTTGGAGGAGAGGCAAGGGAAATGTAGGAATTGAAGACACATTTCTCTTGCTCAAAAATAGTGATAAGGTCTTTAAAGACACCCTCCCCTAACCTGAAACTGAATCCACGTCTTAGGGACCAAGGGGCCTGAGGTCTCAATCACTCCCGGGAAATCTAAATGAGGTAACTGGGGGTAGCCAGCCACTCTGCAGGCCGATGACAAGGAGGCCCTTTCCCAGATCTTCATGAACAAAGAATTTATTGGATCAGATTTCTCTGGACCAGAAGTGGTCCATGCGTATGACAAGGTCAGCCTTGAGGTTGTCTTACATCTTGTTCCGGAGGCCTTGTTGTAGAGTACTCCCAGTAGAGGAAAGCTGAAAGTACATGATGACATGCCTTGTGCTTGAGGAATAAGAAGGAACTTCCCTGAAAAATTCACTTGCCGATACGGAGGTGAGGTGCGAGGAGTGCCCTTCTCGGGGACAGAGTGGGAGAGGGCCCCGAAAGCTCCACAAATGTGGCCCACACCATGCCGAGGCCAACACATGACAACATCAGTCAGTGAGAATGTACACATACACACACCTACCTCCTACTTCCCATCCCGTTCCCTAATCCCAGTGCTGCGGGAGCCACAAACATCCTAGAAAGTAGGAGAGGAAAGCACAGGTTGAGATCGCTGGAGCTCTGGGGAAGGACAGCCCACAAACTAACTCCCACATGGGCTGGCGCAGGCACTTAGACCTTCCATGTTATCTATCCGGGGTAAAACCCTCAAGGGTGGTGGCCAGGAGACCAAGGGTAAACAAGCAGGGTGGGGCGGGGGGGACTGCAAATTTGCCACATCATGTTTTGCCACGAAACTTGGGCCGCATTTTGCAGGGAACTGGACGTGGGGAAGATGAAGCGCACACATGTCCGTGTGCACCAGTGAGGAGGGGCTCCTGTCAGGGGGAGACGGGCCACATGCTGAGCTGATCCTCAGGGAGGCCCTTTATGCTCAACCTACGTCTAAGTCCTGTGGAAAAAGAAAAAGAGAGAGAGAGAGAGAGAGAGAACTTATCCTGAACTTAAGGACTTAAGACCTATAAATTTCCAAGTACAGTATTGATGATCATCTGAAACAGTGCCTACATTAAGTATTTTTTCAGATTTAGAGTCTTTAAATGAGTTTAATACATTCAACTGCTTAGAAATGTGTCCAGCATATAACACTCAACAAGTGATATTGCCATTATCATTATTATTAGGAATAATCAGATTCTGTATAAGCAAAAACTATCTGGTAGATGATTTTGCTCACTGCTTATCCAGTCATTGAGAGGTGATGTGGTTTCTATTTTGTTCAATAAAAACTGTCATTATTGTGGTCTCCTGTGTACATGGTGTCCTGAAAGTATGTGTACGTGTGTGTGAAAATGTATACAAAATTTCAGATTAATAAAATAAACCAGATGAAACCATATTATCAAAATAGAGCCTGTAATTCTGCGAGGTAGACACTGTCGCACTACTGTGAGAGCCAGGTGTTGATGTTGACATTATCCCTCAAAGCCAACTCTTCTTCCCTAGTAATCGTGTGTTTAAAGTAGCCATGAAAGAGGGGATCTAAAGTAATGGGAGCTGGAAAGAGCTTTACTTTGGGTAATGAGTAGCCAGGGCATAATAACCTCAGGCAGTGAGACGGATCCAAAACAAGAAGACTAGAGCGGTGCCAAAAGAGACCGGGGTACAGGTGATTGACAGTTAATCACGAGTTTTCAGCAACTGATAAGAGTAAAACCAAACTGTGTCTGGAGTCAACCTTCTGCAGAGAGAAGGATCTGGACAGAGAGGTCTCCACTGGCTCCCTGCTCCCACGGGGCATCCCGGAGCAGACCAAAGAGCCTCATACATGCGCCATCGTGGATGTGTCGTGCAGATTTGCTCTTCCACTTTGTTTGCCAAAACTGGCAAGAAAAATCTCTTGGAATTCTCAAGCCTTCCTGCTAATTGAGTTCGGTTTATCTCAACTGAGTGGAAATGGCACTGATGTACTGAGCACTACCCATTTTAGAGAAGGTAGTAGCCATCAGCGCAATCACCTCCTGACAGTCCAGAAAAATTCTAAGACACCAGAAACTCAGTTTTGTCTACCTAGAAAACTCATGTACAGGAAAGTAAAGATGTCCCACCTAAGTCTAGGAGGGGAGTGTCACAGGAAGAGAGAGGGGACTGAGGCACCAGCCACTACTAGATGTAACTTTAACAAAACTCATTCACTTTCTTAGTGACCCCGTCCCATATGTACCACTGGACCCACAAAGGCTGTATTTTCTTAATATTTTGTAGTTGTCAGCCTAGGCTCGTCCCTGGATAATTAATAGGAGGGGATTAATCTCTAAGTCTGCCGATGGAGAAATGGAGTCTTCTTACTCCATGAACATGCAGACCATCAGAGGAGATTGTGTGTCTTCCAAACCATCAACTCAGCATGCACAGAAAAAGATTCTCCTGGCTTCTTCTTTATGGGCTAAAGTTGATTTCCACCTAGTTAGAAGACTAGCAAAAGCCAGACTGAAAGACGGAAGGTGTGGACGCTGGAGGAAATGAGCCTGGCCACCTCTGCATATGGACTAGAGGTGGTCGGACAAGGTGTTACACAACCAATGAGTCCTTCCAAAAAGCTCACCTGGACAACAAGACGACCACGGCAGCACTATCCCATTACCAACCGCATAATACCCAATTTTTCTTGAGTGCTCGACAAGTATTTGTTCAAAGAAAGAAAAGGAGGGAAGGAGAAGGAAAAGGTAGAAGGGATGGAAAGGGCAGAAGGGAGAAGAATTCGGTTGCCCATGGAGTTACTTAGTGCCACTCTCTCATTTTTCAAGTGATATAACTGAGACCCAGAGAAGCTGACCAGAGGGAGCAAAGTGGTGCCCTCCATCACCATTGTACAACTCCAAAACCTACGGAACAGAGCAGCGCTTTCTAAGAATAGAAACCCTAGGGAAGGTATAGGGGGGATAGAAATGCACAGCAAAGAGCGGTGTTATGTTGATTACAGGATAGTCTATGCTATTTTATGTAAGTCACTGGAAAAAGTTATATTAAAAAAAATAAATTGGTGTCTGTACCATCCTGCTGTGGACCAAATGTCTGTGTCCCTCCAGAATTCCTATGTTGAGGCCCTACCCCCAGTATGAAGGTTCTGTGGAGATGGGTCCTTTGGGAAGAAGTAAGATTTAGATGAGCTCAGGAGGATGGGGCCCTAGTCCGATGGGATTAGTGCCCCTGTGGGAGACGCCAGAGAGCTCCCCCCACCCTCTCTCTCTCTCCTATGTTAAGGACATGGCGGGGAAGATACAACCAAGTGCAAGCCAAAAAGAAAGACTTCACCAGAACCCGATGCTGACACCCCAATGTTGAACCTCCAGCTTCCAGAACAGAAAATAAATGTCAGTTGTGCAAGCTCCCACGTATGGTATTTCGTTATGGTAGCTCAAGCTAAGACACACACACCTGCAGGATTCAATCCTCGAGAAGCCTCTTTATTCCTGCACTTCCCCTCTGGAACTCCCTCTTTCATACCCGCCGGCCTGCCTACCGCACGCCCACACCCACTCCTGCTGAACACATTCTTCCCGGTTCCATTCCTCACGTCACCGCCTTCTCAAACCTCCCAGCTCTTCTCCCAGGCGGAGCAAACGTACCACGTTCAGTCTCCCCAAAGTGCAAGGCATCGGAGGACTCTGACTGTGGTCAGACCTGCGAGCTGTTCACGAAGGGGTCTTACTCTCACCTTTGCCAGGCCTTGAGGGGCTCCCAAAGGTGGAGGCTGGAGTCTCATTCATCTTTCTTTTTTTTTTTTCCATTTTTTTTTCCATTCATCTTTCATGCCTTGTCCTGCCTCGCGTGAAGTCTGACTTCAAGCAACTTCTCAATAAATATCTGCGGAAATAAATGGATCCAACTGCTGTGGGCTTACTCGGATCCTAGATGGGCCTCTTTCCAGCCAGGAAAGCCCGCGTGTCCCACCAGGGTTAGTCCGCAGCCTTTCCTCCTCTAAGGTTTAAGCAGCTGCCTGCGGATTGCACCAGCCTTCCGAGCATCAAGAAATCGATGACAACAAATGGTGCTGTCAAAGGGCCAGGTCACGGGGGAACAGAGCTATTGGAGGCATCAGCGGAGGGGCCGCTGATGGGGGGCCCACAGAGCTTCCCAAAGCACCTCTGCCGGGCCTCCCGCACGGAGCCAGGTCAGGCTCGGGCAGCGGCCAGCTAGCTCGTCTCTGTCCTCGCTCCCAGAGTGACGTCTGTGTCTGTCAGAGAGGATGGGAAGGGTGAATTATCTCAGTGCTGGGCTGCAAGGCACAGAGAGGAACAAATAGCCACTTGTCCTCCTGCCCGATAAGGGGGGACGAGGACTGGCGGAGCAAGAATAAAACGTCAGCAAACCAGGGGTGCCCAGATGAGCCGCACTCCCACCGTGCAGAGGAGGAGGGCGGAGAAAACCTCATTGCATGTGCAACGCATCATTCATTTTAATCCCTGGAGGCAGGTACAACCGGCCAGTATTAAGATTCCGGGTGGGCATCGCATCAGTACCTGTGCCGCGTATCCTTCGACGTGCTGGCCAAGGGGGAGCACCCGGACAGAAGTACCATCGCAGATGTGCTCTCGTCAGTGCCCGTAGCAAGGTGCTGTGATCCGTTATAGACTCTCCTTCAGCACCCTCCCAGCCTACCTCCACCTGCCGGCCCCACACACCCCACTCTACCCACCTCCTCCCACGAGGACTGCCAGGCCGTCCGCAACAGCCAACTCCATCAGGGCCGCAGAACAGATGCGCGTCTGGGGAAGGATGCGGGGAACGCCAAGGCGGAGAGACTGAATGGGAGAGAGAGCGAGAGAAGGGAAACAAGCGAGGTTAATTTAAGGCCCACGAAAGCTGCTCTGACAGTCTCATTCCTGCATTATCTTTTGCCTGGCAGCTGCAGCTGTTCACCCACTTTCATCCCTGACATAAACAGTCCATATCTGCAATTACAAGTGCCCGGGGAGCGAGCATTAGTATGCTGCGTGTGGTCTGGGAAAAGGTGCAATGCTGGGCTTCTTCCTGCCTTAGAAGTCAGTCCCTGGCAGACATGCCCGGGAACAAAGGGAAGAAAGATACAGAAAAGCCGCGCATCTGTCGGATGCCCGAGCCCAAGTCTGAAGCATGGGGTCAGCTGGTTGTGTCAGCATCAAAGGAGCTGAAGAGGGGAGGAGATGAAATGCAGTTGGTGGCAAAGATTCATTTTTTTAAAAATCTGCCTTAAAGAATTAACTACCCACTAAGACCTTTGGGCTGATTGTAG